CAGCAGGAAGGATTCTAGGGTAATTGTAAATACAAGGGTTCCATATAAAGCAGGGTAGCAGCCAAGCTCTTAGATTAAAACCAAAGACAGGGTGGCACTTCTTGATTATGAAACCAGACTGAAAAAGAGTTCTGCTAACTGCACTGAGGCTACAGCTTAGGATGCTGCTGACCGAATGCCAGCTGACTCAGTGACTGAGCCTGTCATATCCCCAACGTCACTGTGGGGCCAAGGCTCTGATCCACTAACACAAGACCAGATTCTGATCTGGGAACACCAAAGGAAGACAAGAGGCAACTATAAGTCTGCTAGACCAATCACAAAAAGAGATAGAGAGAGAGAAAATAAGAGAAAGAAAAAGAATCCTCATCAAAATATGCCTGAAAAATTATAGAACATAAAGAAAACACCAACGATATCAACATAACAACCACAACATAAATTCACTGGAAAAAAAATTAAAAATAATCCAGTGATCTAAAAAAGACTTTAAAATAAATATGTAAAAGGTTCACAATGAGATGAAGGAATAAAAAAGAACGAAAAAATTTAAAAAACAAACAAACAAGAAGAGGTGAGAAAACAACTAGTGGATCTAAAAAAGAACCGATAAAAAAATCTTACAGCCCTGAACAGTGTGGGACATTTGTTATGGCCTCAGTCCCATACACCAAAGGTTCTCAGGCTCAATTCAATTCCCAATCAAGGGCACATATCTGCGTTACAGGTTCAATCCCCAGGCAACCAATTGATGTCTCGCTCACATCCATATTTCTCTCTCCCTATACCCCTCCCTCCTTTCCACTCTATCTAAAATCAATGGAAAAATATCCTCAGGTGAGGATTAACAAACATACCAAAAAATCTTGCAAATGAAATATAGCCATCGTAATTTACATATAATAACAGGGTTCTGCATTCTTAGGGGCAGCTGTGTACAAGACATTGTTAGACACTGAGACTCAGAAAGGAAAGATACGTGGTACCTGTCCTCAAAGAAGTAACCATATGTAACAGTGATACTAACAGAACATTAAGATTACAGAGTAAAACAAAATTTAGTTTTCAAAAATGTAAGTATTTTTTAAGTTAAAAGGCCTGACATTTCTAAGTTTCACAAACTAATATCACCACATTTATTAGAGTTGGCACTTTATATTAGATCAGCGATTTTCAACCTTTTCATCTCATGGCACACATAAACTAATTACTAAAATTCTGCAGCACAGCAATATTATGCAGCAAGGCAATATTTTTTGCCGATCCGACCAAAAAAAAAAAAAGTAGGTATAATTTTTATTCATTTATACCGAATGGCTATTGTTGTGTTGGCTGCTATCATTGTTTTAATTGACAATCTAATGGAAAAGATATCAGTGCCCCTGATTAGTCAGGCATTGCATGTTTTAAAAACTCTTGCAGCATATCAGTTGAAAATCACTGCATCAGATAAACATTCTCACAAAACTTCATATGAATGGAGCTGAAATAACAAAAGCAGCTTCTTTATTAATCTGTATTTGAACTCATCTAGCAACTATCCTTGTGTATCCAAAGTGCACCACTGTGAAAATGTGCACACTAGAAAGTCTAAAAAATCAAAGTCTACTTCTTGCAATATTATTCTTAGTAGAAAGCACTGAAAGATATCACAATAACAACAGCTTCATTTTCATTTATCACCTAGAAGCCCGATGCATGAAATTCGTGCAAGGGCCTTGGCCCCCTGCCGCCACCACCATGGCCGCCTCTGCTGTAGCCCCTGCCCACTGCAGCTTTGTCCAGAAGGAAGGACATCCAAAAGGACATCTGGTCTAATTAGCATATTATGCTTTTATTATTATAGATTGACTAATTATTTAAACTGTTGATAAGAAAAGGTACTCTGGTCAATAGTAAGTTAAATACAGGGTGGGGCAAAACTAGGTTTACAGTTGTGAAAGTGCAAAACACAGAGTTTACTCTTATATTATTATTTAATTATCTAATAATAGACAAACATGGTAATTAACCATACCTCCGACACGCTTCCCATTGGCTAATCAGGGCGATATGCAAATTAACTGCCAACCAAGATGGCGGCCGGCAGCCAGGAAGCTGAAGTGA